AGCCCCCTGGGGGCGCCGGCCCAGCCATCCCAGCCCCGAGGCAGGGCCAGGACTACAACCACGGTCCCTAAGCACAATCATTGATTGACACAGGAAGGAACTTACTTCCACCTACTCTCTGGAAGTTCCGAAACACATTTATTTAAAAGTTTTGATGCCGCGATTCTTCCATAGAAATTACAACTATTTAATATCGCAAAACAGTATAAAATAAGAATGTGAAAATGAGTCGATTTAAATATGTAAGACCAATAAGTGTGGGAATTACAATAAAAATTATATACATGTTAAACAATGTATAAATAATATAGTTCACAGAATGGGTTCATGGAGGAAGTTTATGCTAATTTGCTCACATTTCTTAGCAGGGATTTCAAAGATACTGAAATCCAAACCTATAACTCCAAACTGTGGATCCTGCCTGGATGAACAATCTAACAATGCTTTCAATTTTACATGTTTCTTTTATTTTTATTACATTTAAGTAAAATAGCCTTGGCCAGGGTGGCTCAGTTGGTTGGAGTGTGGTCCCATACACCAGAAAGTGGTGGGTTGATTCCCATCAGGGCACATACCAGGGTTTTGTGTTGGATCCCTGGTCAGGGCACCTGCGGGAGGCAACTGATCGATGTATTTCTTTCTTTCTCTTTCTCTCTCTCTCTCTCTCTCTCTCTCTCTCTCTCTCTCTCTCTTCCTCTCTCTACGCATGTCCTTGGCTAAGGATTTAAAAAAACCCGGGAATCCTGGCCAGGTGGCTCAGTTGGTTGGGAACTGTCCCATGGACCAAATTCCTGTCAGGGCACATGCCCAGGTTGAAGACTCAATCCCTGATAGGGATGTATAGGAGGCAGCTGATCAATTTTTTAAAATATATGTTTATTGATTATATATATAGAGAGGAAGCAAGAGGGATAGAGAGAGAGAGAGAAACATCAATGACAGAGATACATTGATCGGCTGCCTCCTGCACATCCCCTACTGGGGGTTGAACCTGAAACCTGGGCATGTGCCCTAACCAGCAATTGAACCAGTGAACTTTTGGTTCATAGGTTGACACTCAATTGCTGAGCTACACTGGCCAGGCTGATCAATGATACACTCCCACATCGATGCTTCTCCCTCTCCCTTCCTAAAAATCAGTAAAAATATATATAAAAAGAATGCATAATATGATCCCACTGTTGTAAAATATTTCTATTTATGTGTTCACTAAAAAACTGAATATCTGCGATGTGCTAGTTGTGGAGGTTACAGCACTGAGCAAGCCAGACAGGCAGTCTATTCCCATAGAGTTTACATTCCAGTGGGAAGATGGACAATAAACAAATAACAATTATCAAAAAAGCAAATAAACAACTCCAGGAAGCTGTGATAAATACAAGGAAGAACAATAGTGAGGGAGTACAGGTGTGTGACTTTAGGTAGGTGGTCCCTGAAGGCCTTTCTTAGGAGGTATATTTGATTTAACCAATCAGGAGGAAAACAACCCCAGGAACCATCATGCTGTTGGTGATGCCAATCAGAGTTCTATGGCAGTGCTAGCAACCGATGCCAGGCTTCTCCTGCACCCTGACTCAATCACCTCCATCCCACTGCTTATTATGCAATTGGAAGAGCAATTGTAACACCCCTTTGGAATGGTCAGTGACTAAATGGCAAGCTCCATTTTGAGTGGCAGCCTCCCATTTCTGCAGAAAACTGACTGGCACCAAAAACCAGAATGGAGACCAAGGACCAGGGCCCATAAGGTCTGTGCAAATCACCAGCGACACACCAGCCTCGGATCATGCCTTCCAGGCCACACTTTGGGCCAGACCCATGATGGTGACGTGTAGCATTAACACGAGGAAAACTCAGGGGGAGCCTGATGGCTTACTCAGTTGAGACCCTCTCTTCCCATGACCCATTTATATTTGTGTTCCATCGAATCCTTCGGTCAAACAATAAATCACCTCTTATTTAAATGATGTATTTTGGGAGAGCTACTCCCCCTTCAGCAAAGAGAAAATGTCAGCCTACATGATCTGTGGGTAAAAGGTTCAATATTAAGATGGAGATCAAGTCCTTACAGCTGGGAAGATTTAAGAGGGGACATTGGTGCTTCTTGGTGGCGCTCCCATCAAAGGAGATAGAAGCATAAACTATGTCAACTTCCTGCACACGTCACCCACCACCCAGCAGTTATCCCTCCCTCCTTCCAGCCCATTTGCATATTGTCTCAGCCCCTTCTGTTCCCTTGGGACCATGTACCTCAGTTATCTCTTCTCCCCGACATCTTCTTTCTCACTTTCGTTCTTCTCTCCTCTGAGCCCATAAACATGCCAGTTTCTCCTGGCCTAAAAACAAGGCCACAGGTTCCACACCAAAGGAGAGGACATTTTAAGCCAATAAGCTGCAGGATGCGCACCTAACAGACCTCACTAAAAACGGGGCATTAGGTAGGGAAAGAAACTTAAAGATCAGCACACTGCCAGCCCAGACTGCAGCGAGCTCTCACAGCCAGACGGGTGACCAGTGTGTCCCAACCCCAAAGAAGCAAAGTTTCAAAGTAATACAAAATTTTAAAAGTTTTGTACATAAACTATTCAAGATTTCTCCAGCACTAACTGGTACAAAGCACAATGAGATGGCACTTTTAGAGACAGCAGCTTCAGACCCAGAGGAGGGTAATGAGATGAGTTTCATTTGGCCAAATCAGTGGCAAAAACATAATTTTCTTTCTTTCAAGGAGGCAGGAGAGCAAGTAACTGGTCACTTCAACATAAGTGGCACATCATCCATTTTGTGAACCATTGGGGAAGGGGCAGAGATGGGACAAGAATTTGGTCTCTGACAGAGAGTTCTCACCATTTTAACTTGGTCACTTCTGATGAAAAAAATGAATTGCCTACAGATGCCTTAAAAGCTGAAACCTAAACATCACTTTTTTGGGGGGGCTAACTCCTCCTGGAACCACCTTTTCAATTTGGCTAGTGCTCTGCACAAAGCAATGATTCCCCATAGTAGAGTCGTTCTCTGGGCTCTATGTGGATCCCAGTAAGGCAGGCCCATACCTTTTTCCCTCCTCTATGGAGAGGGCAATATGGATTAAGCTGAAAAATTACCTCCTACAAGTGAGAAAGGGATTAGATTGCTGCTTGAGAACTGTGGAATTATTTGGAATGTTTTACGAATGGTTGCCACATCAACAACAAAAAAGGCAATTACAAAATGTGTACATCACAACATGCTTTTAAAGACACTGCATTGTGCTCACATTCCCTTAAATGTTGTTCCCAAAGGTGCTCAGCCCTATCAAAATCTCTGAGGGGAGGCAGAGACAATTTGGTGAAAAAGACACGGGTGGGGCGGTGGGAGGCAGTGAAAGGAGAAAGCAGCCTTTCAGTTAAAGGTCAGCTTCAAGCAGGCTGGCCGCAGGCGGAGTCAGGGTCAGAGGGAGGAGCGGCGGCAGGGTAGGACGGGTGGCTCTACATCTCATTCAGGTCCAGCAGTCAGGTCCAGCCTCCTTTGTGTACCTCTTTGTGTTCCTCTTTGGTGCATTTCAGTTTATCTTCCAAATCATCAATTGTCTTTTCCAGCTCGGCTACCGATCTCGCAGCAAACTCAGCACGGGTCTCTGCCTCCTTGAGTTTATCAGTAAGAATCTTTATCTCTTCCTCATATTTGTCTTCTTTTTGAGGATACTTTTCTTCAGCAGCACTCAGACACGGCAGGTTCTGGCCCATCAGTCTCATCTGCTCATCCATCTCTCCGCAACGGGACTCTGCCAGCTCAGCTCGTTCCTCTGTGCGTTCCCAGTCTCCCTCAGTAATCACCAGCTTACGAGCCACTTCTTCATACTTTCTATCTGCCTCTTCTGCAATGTGCTGAGCTTCTTTGAGTTGGATTTCCTGGAGTTCCAGCTTTTCTTCATCTTTTGAGGCTCGGTTTTCAATAACCTTCATACCTCTCTCGCTCTCATTGGCAGCTTTCTCAGCTTCCTCCAGCTTTTGCAGGGCAGTGGCCAGGCACTCCTGAGCACGGTCCAGCTCCTCTTCAACCACCTCAGCCTCAGCCTGTTCCCGAGCCTGCCTTTCTCCCTCCACTTCCCACTGGAGGCGCTCGGCCCTCTCTTCGGCACCATCGGCTGCGGCTGCGGCACCTGGATCTCGCGTTTCACCGTCTCAATGGTGGAGATCCCAGGCATGGTGCCCACCCAGCTCCTGCTCGCGTTTGGTTTCCTGCCTCCTCCCCTGTGTTAAATTTTTTGAATTACAATGCAGCCGAAAGACAATGGACCTCCAGTGCAATAGTCACCGTCGGGGTGGCCCGGTGGAAGGATGCACAAACCAGACAAGAGTTTTACCAGATCTAGTAATGATGTGGGGCAGAGGTTGTGTTTGTATCTTTCCAGAAGGAGCAGTGCAGCCACCTTGGGTACCAGAGAGTTATGTGTCACCACAGAGGACCCAGAGAAGCTCCTTGTCCCTTCATTCAAAAGACTGAGAGTTGCCCCGATGACAGCAAAGCGGAAAAAAGAAGAAAAGGAAGGCTAACCAAGGGACTGAAGTGCCAACATGGGGTCAGCTGAAGAAGTTAACAACTGAGGCCCAGCAGAAGGTAGAAAAGCAAGATGTGGAAGCTACTCCCTCAATCATGTTTCTGGCTATGCTAGCATTGGTTAACTGCCAGTCTTCTGCAAAGCCTTGCGCAGCCAAGTCCGAGGACTCTGAGTAAATCAGCAAAAGAAACTTTCATTTAGTAGAAAATGTTACTGTCGTGTGATTTCTCTCTCATTGCTGTGTTGCATTGGCATTGTTTTGTTCTTGATGTTCAAGTTTTAAAATGTTAACATGTCTGTAGTTTGGGTTTTGCATTGGCATTGTTTTGTTATTGTTTTAACAGCCAGAACTTTGTTCTTGATGTTCAAGTTTTAAAATGTTAACATGTCTGTAGTTTGGGTTTTGCATTGGCATTGTTTTGTTATTGTTTTAACAGCCAGAGTTTTGTTCTTGATGTTTAAGTTTTACTTTCATTATGGTAGCTTAAAAATAAAAAAAGGGTGAGATGTAAGGAGCGGCTATAGGGTTAAGCCTTGGACTGACCTGTTGGCAGAGCCACAAACAAGTCCCAGCTTGGAGGGCACAGCCGTCTTAGCATAATTAGGCTTGACCTTATGACACTCCCTAGATCTTATCTGGGTAGCTAATGGGCTGAGGGAGATGCAGCAAGTGCTGCAGTCTGGGTCCCTCTCTGTAGCCTTAGCCAGGCACAGGAGATCCACCTAGACCCAGCTTATTCTCTTTGTCTGTCTTTTCTACATCCTTCGCCGCCCCCCCTCAGGCTCACCGAACCCTTGGCTGAGCTGGCCCGGCACAAAAAGTCAAGACCTTGGAGACAGGTTCAGGGATTAGCCTGGGACTAGCTACTGATGCCCTGGTTCCCCTGGTTATAAATTTCATGGGGACCCTTAGAACTCAGGGAGAAAAAGCTGCCTGAGAAAGAAAAGGGCAAGAAAGGTGTGGGCATGCTCCCGGGAGGGAGAGCATGCAAAATAAATATTTATTAACATTTGAAGCTTTATGTACACTTTTAAAAGCAAATGCACAAATGGAGGAATTACAAAAATTAACCTCAAGTCCTTTCCCGCAATGTATAAATGAACATTAAAGATCAGTAGGGCCATCACCATCAGAATAAATGTCTAAAAGAATACAATTACTTTAAATGCCATTCTGATACTTTCCTTATAGCTACAACTCCAAAGAATACTAGGACGCCAAATATATCCAGAACACCGTGTTTTTACCTTACCCTAACTTATTAAATATACAAATATGTTTCCGTCTTTTTGTCCAGCAAGCAAATGAGAATCTGTACCTGACCATTTAACGAAAGACCAGTTCTGGTCAGAGATGGGTGGAAGAAGAGCAGTACAATGACCGAGAAGTAAGTCCCAAATGGCAATTGTTCCAGAAGTCAATACCGCTGCTGCGAAATGATCCTTCACATCACCTTCCAGGAACCTAACATGAAGAAGAAAAGAAACGATTCAAACCATATTATATACTACAGGCCTGGTGCACGAAATTTGTGCATAGGTAGAGTCCCTAGGCCTGGCTGGCTATCAGGCCTGATCTGTGGGATCTGTGGCAAAACTGGTGGGGCAATTGGGGGACCCCTGCTGGCACCCACCTTGGCCGGCCTGGTTCCACATGCTCGCTGGCCCTGTCCCCTGCTGCCTCCCTCTGCGGGGTGACCAGTGGGGTGACCGGGGAGCCCCCGCTGGCAACTGCCTTGGCTATCCTGGGGCCTGCGGGCTGGGGGCAGCTCCTGCATTGGGTGTCTTCCCCCTGGTGGTCAGTGCGCACCATAGCAACCCATTGTTCTGTTGTTCGGTCGATTGGCTTTTATTATATAGGATATTTATATATATGTTTTTTAAAGAGGCCAAAACCATCCTCCCCAAAGCAACAAGAACAAAAATACCTGGAAATAGGAATGCTTCTCTTTGCAGTATGGGACACGAACACCTGTGCAGTCCCCGCCTATCTCTTGATGCATCTTGTACCCCGTGCACCCTAGCTCACTGTGGCCAAACTCAGTCTCCTCAGTGTCTTCGCACTTGCTTTCTCTCCCCTTGGCAGGCTCTAAGCCCAGTCCTTAGCATGACTGGGCTTTTGTTATTACTCAAGCTGCTGCTTCTGCAGAAAGGTCATACCTAATCCCTGTCTATCCACCCACACTGTATCACATGACCTGTTTCTGTCTTCACAGCACTTGTCACAATGTGAGAGCATCCTATTTTCACATTTGGTGGGTATCTTTGCCACAAGAGTGTAATCATAAGGCAGAAGTCAGGTTGTCTTTTTAAGATGGGGCTCTACAGTCAGCTACCTGGCTCTGAATTCTAACAAAGCAAGAGCTGTGCGACTCTGGGCAAATTATTTAACTTCAGCAGTAAAATGGGGACATGGTGATTATTGTGAGGTTTCATGAAACAGCTGAAAGCACAGTCCTAACCCTCAGGAAGTGCTTAATGAAAATTCGTGTTGTCTCACTGCCATATCACCAGCACCGTGCAGAGTGCCACCCATAAACAGATCTTTTCACAGTCAATAGTTCAATATTAGCCCTGGTCAGTGTGGCTCGGCTGGTTGGGTGTCGTCCATTGCACTGAAAGGTTGCTGGTTTAATTCCTGGTTAGGGCACATGCCTGGGCTATGGGCTTGATCCCCAGTGAGGGGTGTACAGGAGGCAACCAGCTAATGTTTCTCTCCCTCTCCCTCCCCCTCTCTCAAAAAACTCTCCACAAAAAAACCTTAAAAAAAAACCTAGTTAAATATTTACTAATAGATCAATATTAGCTGCCTACATGGTGGAGGCTCAGATTTTGAAGTAAAGATGTCTTCCTAAAGTACATTTAAAACTTTTCTTAATGGAAAGAACATAAATTAGAAATCTCCTGTAGAGAATATTAATTACTCTGTATTTAAAATGTTTTCATTATGGGATAACACAGGGCTTAAATACACATAAAATACTTATCCAACGCCATGCTGGTGGGATCAGTATACAGGGAACCTGAGGCTTGACCCAGATCTACTCAACATTCTACTTCATTTTTAAAAAAAATTGATTTATAGAGAGAGGAAGGGAGGAGGTGGGGGGTGGGGGAGAGAAACACTGATGTGAGAGAGAAACCTCAATCGGTTGCCTTCTGCATGCGTCCTGACTGGGGATTGAATCCAATACTTGAGTATGTGCCCTGACTGGGAATTGAACCCGCCACCTTTTGGTGTATGGGATGACACTCCAACCAACTGAGCCACTCGGCCAAGGCTGAACACTATACTTCTTAACATTCTTTACCTTGATCTATATATAGTGTTTCATGTTTCCTTTCATCTAAATGACACAAAAACATCTGGTTTCTGTATGTGCACAGGTGCCTTTCAAAGGTCACACTCATTGCCCAGCAGTTGCACACTTGCCTCCCAGCCTGCCCTTGAGGAAGACAGTAGAGCATCACACCCACGCTCCGGGCCGTCTTGGGGTTGATCGCAATGAGCTGGAACACCGGGCTTCCCGACGGCTCCCTCTCTTTGGCACAAGGATGACTCAGAACAACAAAAAGGAGCCCCTGATTTAGAAGAAAAATTAATAACCAAAGAAATCATTAGAACTATGGTGAGAAAAAGAAAGAACTGGCAGAGACAAAACGAAAGACTCACAGGAAAGATCAACAGACTCGTCAGGCTCCCAGCCATTCCCAGCGTGAATCGGGCGAATGCACCGCCCTCCACCTCAGACACGGCTCACACCCCAGGCGCCCATTTGAGAAAGAGGGCAAATAAACACATGATGGGAGGCCTCAAACTAGAAATGCTCATTTGTCAGAACACATTTTCCCATAAAAACAATCATAAGTGGCAACTAGAGTTAAGGCCAGCCTATAACAGTTTATTCATTTGTATTTATAGAGTGCGAGTGACCAAAAAATACACCATGACCCATGGTCGTTTCTGTGGGAAAATGTGTCACAAACCTCTCCCATCTTTAAAATTACATGTTTTTCTTTTTTTTTTTAATCCTCACCCAAGGATACGTTTTTACTGATTTGAGAGAGAGAGGAAGGGAGGAAGGGAGAGAAGGCGGGAGGGAGGAAGAGAAACATTGATTGGTTGCCTCAAATACACACCCTGACCGGGAATTGAAATCGCAGCATTTTGGTGTATGGGATGATGCTCCAATAAACTGAGCCACTGGCCAGGGCAAAAATTACATGTTCTATTAACATTATTGTGTGTGAAGATACTTGTCACACACATATGTATACATGTCTATATGTATGCTACATGTTGAAAATAATTATCTTTGGGGGTAAAATAGGAAAAATTAATTATTGGGCCATTTTACCCATTTCTACTTTATACCTTCCCAGAATGACTACATTAAAAAATTTTTTTAAGTTGATTTTAAATAGAGGAAGGGAGAGAAAGAGAAACATCAATATGAGAGAGAAACATCGATCAGTTACCTTCTGCACACTCCCCAACTGGAGATCAAACCTGCAACCTGGTTATGTGCCCTGACCGGGAATCGAACCTGTGACCTTTTAGTGTATGGAATGACGCTCCAGCCAACTGAGCCACGTGGCCAGGGCCAGAGTAACTGAATTTTTATAATGAGAATGCATTACCTTTATAATTAGATAACAACTGAGAGTTAAAAAAAAAAGAAGTTAAATGCCATACACCTAACTAGGGTCAGGCAAACTATGGCCCACAGGTAAAATCTGGCTCAAGGCATATGGGGAAGTTTTATTGTCCAAAATGTTTTATTGGAATGTAGCCACACCCATTTCTCCTGTCATCTCTGGGTGATTTTGTGCGATAGTGGCAGAGCAGGTAGCTACAGCAGAGACCATGTGGCCTGCAAAGTTAAAACATTCACTGTCTGTCCCCTTAAAGACATGTTTGCCAATTTCTGCACTCAGGTATAAATTATGATTTCTGGGGGTTGGCTTCATGAGGAACTCTTACTATTTTTTTCCATTTCTGTTCTCAATGTTTTAAAATGAAATAGGTATTAATGTTGTAATACCAAAGATAAATGCTTAGTAGATAAATTTAATAATTCCAGAGACGAATTCAACCCTCTTATTTTAGGATGAATAATAATAAGCCTCAAGACCATGTGACAGATTTCCTAAGACCACAAAACTTTTGCATCCATGTCCACAGATGCTGCTGGGCTAGGGAGAGATGCACCCTTTGCGTTCAGAGCCTCCCCGTGCTGAGGCCCGCAGGGTTGCCCCTGGGGCTGGGCAAGTGAGTCTCCATACAGCACCCAGCTGGCTGCTTCTGTCTCTGCTTATGGCTCAACAGCGCACACATGCATGAGCAGTGACCCTTGACCCTGGGACAACTACCTCCAACCTGTTCAGATGCCAAAACCAGATTGTAAGCCAACTGTATTAACATAATGGCTAAGAGGCTGTGGTTCGTTTCTATATGAGAACACTAAAGTCTAAGAGAAAAGCATGTCTATGACCATTTAATCATCCTTCCTCAGGATATACATTCACATCATAAATCATTTATGGCAGTGGTTCGCAACCTTGGCTGCACATTAGAATCACCTGGGAATCTTTTTAAAATCCTGATTTCTGGGCCTCATCCTCTGGAAATTCTGTTTCTTTGTTACTAATGTTGTGGCCCCACCCCATAACAAAGAAACAGAATTTCCGGAGAATGAGGCCCAGAAATCAGGATTTTAAAAAGATTCCCCCAGGTGATTAATGTGCAGCCAAGGTTGAAAACCACTGATTTATGGCAATGTGGTTGGGAGCCAATTCTGTTAATAGGATAATATTTCTCAGTATAAATTCACAGCCAGAAATTAATGTTTGCCCTTAAGTCATACAGCCAGAAAATTCACCAAGCAATCGTACTGTACCAACACTTATTTTCATCCATTTCAAGAAAGAACAAACACTGCTGTCCAATTTTGAAAAAAACAGGCAACAAGGAGGGCCAGTCAATTACTGCTCACTAAGTTATTGCAGTCACTCAGTGATTCCAAGAGTAGCACTCAGAACAGACACAGAATGGTCCCGGCTGATTGGCACTTACCATTTCAGAATAGGCTTTGTGACAGACGGAGGCTTGGTAGGAGTCACCAATGTGCATCTTTTTCAGGAGCTGACCAGTTTTTAAATTCCTTAGACACCAAAAATAGGTAAGCTGATAACACTCTTCCAGGAAACTGGTTTTCACATCAAACTCTCTTATTTATCACAGCATCCGTTAGGAGGGGACCAAGAACAAACTAAGGGACACAGGACCTTTGTTTCGTTTAATCACAGCCTGAGCTAAATATGGAACTATAGTTTAATTTGGTCAATGGTTTTTTGTTTTTGTTGTTGTTTATCCACTGCCAAGGATATTTCTTCCCATTGATTTTTTAGAGTGGAAGGGAGCGAAGATGGGAGGGGATGAGAGAGAGAAAACATCAATTGGTTGTCTCCCACACATGTCCAGAACCGGGCCAGGGATCGAACCTGCAACCCAGGTACATGGTTTTTTTTGTTTGTTTGTTTTTTACTGTACAGCCCCCTTCAGTGCTCACAGCCCAAGGGTAAGGAGACTGGGCAATGGTTTGAGGCTGCAACTTCCTCTGGCATGGGTCCACTATCAGACAGGTACATGTTCTTGACGGGGAATTGAACCTGTGACCTTTCGGTGTGCAGGCTGTTGTTATAACCACTTTGCCACACCTGCCAGGGATAGCCAATGGTTTAATTTGATAGTTTAGCCCTCTGCTATGCCACTAGGGAGAAATCTCTCCAAATTCAAGGAGAAAGGGTTTCAATGATCTCATTTTACTTGGTATTAAAATTAGGCACATGGTATAGCTCTAATCATTATGATTTTGTCACAATTTTTGTTATACCTAAATTTTCCATGGAGGACAATGGTCAGGAAACCAAATCTGGTTAGGCAAGAGATGACACCTGAAAGAGACATATAATTTTGTCTCTATAATCTGCTTATTCCAGAGCCAGCCCCAGATAATGGAGAAAGAAGGAAAGACTGAGCTGCAGTGAAAAATGGAAAAAAAGGTGAAAGGAGAGAAGAGGCTAAATGTAAAAGAAAAAAGAAAGTTTGCTGGAACCACTCCTGAGCTTGAGGATTTGTGACATTAACAACTGTTCTATCATGTGACTCTGCCGATGAAACCCTTTCAGTTGGCTCCCATTAACCACGGATAAAGTCCAAGTAATTTTTCATGGTACTTACAGTCCTCACGAAGCCAGCCCCGTAGCACTGTTACTCACACTGCTCCTGTGCCCGACAGCTCACTATCTGTTCAGCATGTATGCATGTTCCCAGCTCTCTGCTTTTGTTCAAGTTATCCCTCCGAATGCCCTCATTACTGGCTAACCTCCTCCCTGTGTTGACCAACACCCATCCATTTCTTATGGCCCAGATTATGTCCCACCTTCTCCCAGCAGCATGAGCTCAGTTTAGACTCTCTCACTCCTCCCTGTCTGCACCAGTCCACAGAAGTCTCCTCACCTCCAATTCCATATAGTACTGTCCTCATGCCTTATTTTTAATGTAATATATACTGTAAAAGGATAGAATGCAATCATTCAACACATACTTCTGAACTTCTATGGCCCAGGTACTGTATACGAAACTAAAGACAGGAAGCTAAATTCTCATGTAGGTATGCCAGGTTTTCCTCATACAAGGGACACCAGAGCAGGTGCATCCCTTACAGAGGTTAGTGCATGTTCTGCAGATAGTAACTGCTCTCTCCCAAATCCCAAAGCTCTATTATTGTGACACTAGGAACTGTGAAGCAATCTTATTTACCTACTAGGTTTTAGGGGCCTTGGGGCCAGGATTCATATTTACATCCCTCACAGAGAAGTAGAGACTCAAATATCTATTAAATAAGTGAAAGATGGTTCTCAGTTAATGTAGTTTGACCAAGATTTAATATTTAAAGCTTCAGCAGTAGTTTTAAAACAGGCCACTGAGCCCTGGCTGGTGTGGCTCAGTTGGCTGGGAGTCATCCCCTGCACCAAAAGGTTGCTGGTTCGATTCCTGGCCAGGGCACATGCCTACAGTGTGGGGCCTCATTCCCAGTAGGGTTGTGTTCAGCATGTTTCTCTCTCACATCGATGTTTCTCTCTCTCCCTTTCTCCCCCTCTCCTTTCTTCTCTCTCTAAAATCAATAAAAACAGAAAAAATTATTAAAAAACACACCACTTGAACCTGGAGTATAACATGAATTGCTTTAGGCACCCAACAAATAAGGAGTCCCACAGGAAAGGTGAACAACTACTATATGTACATGGATAGGGTGTCCCCCGAAAAGGTATATGCATACTTTGAATAATTATAAAGGCAGTGTTTATTGAAATACATTTCGTTTTAAAAATTGACCTATCAGCTGTTAAAGTGTATATACCTTTTTTTAAAGAAATATTTTTATTGATTTCAGAGAAGAAGGGAGAGGGAGAGAGAAATAGAAACATCAATGATGAGAGAGAATCACCGACCAGCTGCCTCCTGCACGCTCCCCCCGCCCCCCCAGGGACCAAGCCCACAACCCAGACACGTGCCCCTGATCAGAATTGAACCCAGGACCCTTCAGTCCACAGGCCGACGCTCTATCCACTGAGCCAAATCAGCCATGGCAAAGTGTATATACTTTTTTGAGGGACATCTTATAGTTATAGAGAGCCCAAAGGTAAAAGATTGGTTCTGATAGACAGCGTGAGCCATACTTCTTTGAGTAGCTACCCTAAGCAAACAGCTAAGACAGGCACTAAGAACGGATATAGGATGTGGCACTATCTTCAAGGACTTCCATAATACAAAGCAGCACACGCTAAATTAAAAATCAGGGCCCAGGCATTCAGACAGGGAAATGCCAATGAGGGCTGAGGTGATATGACAGAACTCAAGGCAACTGTGGGGGAAGGCACCCCTTAATTAGGACTCAAACTTACTCTTAGTATAGAGGTCCCTCCCCAATCCCAAATTCTGTTGTGATCCATTACATATGAGATGCTAAAAGACAACTATTAGCAAAAGGGGGGAAACGAGGGATGGGAAGAAAAAAGGGAGCCAAGTGTATGGAGCACTGAAGAGGGAATTTTTGTAGTACAGCCTGGGAAATGGAAGCTGAAGGAAAGCAAACATGGGCCCCACAAAAGGTTTTCTTTCTGGGGCAGAGGGGAGAGGGCTGGGAGTAAGAGTGTTTATAAAATAACAGCATAAAAGATGATCTGGAGGTTGAATATTGGTTCATGGCAATTACTAGATTAAATTAATAGTCTCAGAGCTACATAATGAAGGTCTGGACTATAGAAATAGCAGAAAGAATAGAAAGAGAACTTTGGTAAAGAACACTGTCCTCCAATAAGACCTGAGACCTGAGGGAAGTGCCCAAGTGGGAGCCTGCTGCTCTAGGTGGCAGCAATGTGAGAACAGGCTCCTGGCGGGGTAGAACACGGTCCCCTTTCAGGGCTCCCTGGGGAGGAGGGCAGGGCTTCTCTCAGGGGCCATGCTTTTCTAAGTTACTCCCAGAAGGTTAGCAATGGGCAGTGCAGAAGAGGTAGGTAATAGTGACATTCATATCATAACTTTCTCTTTTCAAGACCCATTCTGGCCCCAAGGAAACAGTTAATGGAAAAGCTTCTGAGAAAAAAAAATCATTATTCTCCTAATATAAATTAACCCTGCAAGTACTGATGGCCAGGCATGGTTCTCCCTGTGGTCAGGAAAGAGAGGTGGCTGGGGACTCCTTGAGTTCAGTTTCCCTATCACAAAGTTACTAATTTGGATCCTGTAATGAACCATTTTTTATGTACCTAGTAATTCTGGATTATATTCTAGGCATCACGAATGACACTTCACATAAACTCTGGATTCTCTTAGGTTTCCCTGAAGAGTATTAATTCTGGTCCCCCACTCCCCCCACCCAGTAACCTGTTAACTTGGCTAACCTCAAATTCCAGTTGCTTTAAAACCTAGTTCAGTTCTTTATGCCTTACCCAGGCTTCCCTGAGTCTGCCCCACATACGTGTCATTTAAAAGGTCAGCCAGTAGAGATTATAGCAAGAGTTAGGGCTCTTCTCTGGCTCTCTGCTTTTGGGATTTCTCTGCCTCACTTTCACACTGAACCAGCAGGACAGCAGGTTTTCTTTTTATTAAATGTATTTGGGAGCCCTGGCCGGTTTTCTCAGTGGTTAGAGCGTCGGCCCTCAGACCGAAGGGCTGAGGTTTCGATTCCAGGTCAAGGGCATGTACCTGGATTGCAGAATTTATCCCTGGCCCAGTCGGGGCACGTGCAGGGGCAACCAATCAATGTGTCTCTCAGATTGATGTTTCTCTCTCTCTCTCTCTCCCACCTCCCTTCCTTCCACTCTCTCTTAAAAAAGAAAAATGGAAAAAATATTCTTGGGTTAGGATTAGCAACAAAAAGAATGCATTGGGGAGACACTGGTTTACAAAATTATAAATGTTTCAGGTGTACAATTCTACAACACATCAGAAGGTTTATATCAAGCTTTTGGCCACTCAGTGGTGGAGTGGAGCCTGCCCTCTACTAAAAGCCATAAGAACCGGAAACTTGTCCAGTGACATTTCCTGTCTCTAAGGGTCAAACCCCATCCAGTATCTTTATTCTTTTTCTCACTCTCCAGTGTCTTCAGTTAGTTGATTTTTATATTTATTCCAGAGTTTATAGTCACTTGAAGTAGGAGAGTTGGTCTGGTAGAAGCCACTCAAGCACTAACCAGAAGCAGAAACAATCATATGTTTTTGCCAATAAAATTTCATTCATTGATAGTCTACTCAGACTGATACTTTTCACAATGTCTGAATTAATATGATGTTCTTATTAAGTATCTAGCATCTGACAGTAAAGAAACAAAAACTATCATATTTACGACCTCTTATTTCATCTTAATGACCCTGTGAAATTAGAGGTGTATCCTTATATTACAGAAGAGAAAACTGAGGATCTTGAGGGAAAACTTACCAAATAACAATGTTGTTCATTATAGTGGTACCAAGCAGAGCTTCCTGTGTCCCTTGAACCTCAGCAAAAGTTAGTACCGTCTCTTCGGGAGGCATCAAAAACTGTTTTTCTTCACTTCTGCATTTAAAATAGTATTAAAACCCAGCACTTTGTAGCAAAGCACTTTCTAAGCAGCCCTTCTACATATTATTGAAGTCTGTACAATAAACTTTAACCCAATACCAGAAAAAAGATCCAATCAGAAAACATGTATATGCTAAACTTTCTACAACATGTATTACTTCTAATTATCTACCTGGATATACTGCGAGCACCACAAACTCATCATATCCAACTAAATTCACCAGCTCTCTCTTTAAACTTTGCGTTTCTTTCTGCATTCCTATCTCAATGAATGGTACCATCACCCAGGTGGCCAGCCCAGAAACCTGGACATTTTCCTTGTCTCCCTCCTTTCTATCTCCTCCATCACCACGTCCTAATGATTTTATCATCTCACCTATCCCAAATCTGTCTGCTTCTCCCCATCTCCACTAACACTTTCCTAATTTAGGCAAATAATTGTCTCTTATCTAGATTACTGCAGCAGTTTATAAAAAGATATACCGTCTATTACTAGAAAAGACAGATTAATAATCACAATAAAGTATATAAAGGAGTATACAACAGACACAGAGGACACTAAGAGCCTCGTTTTCAGCGTGTTGAATCCGAGGGAACCCCAGATGTCTAATGAAGAAGCATGCAGGTCTAGAGGTCAAGAAAGAGCTCAGAGCTGGAAATGTATGTTCAGAAGTAGTCAGAAGCTGGACAGTAACTGAAGCCATGAAAACCAAGTGTGTGGAGCAAGAGAAGGGTCTAGAATCTTGAGGTACCTGGAATATTTAAGGGGCACACAGAGATTTCAAAGAAGACAAAAGGAACAAACAACATTTGCTGAGCCTCTCCACGGCACTGGCTTCCTCCCTGCACGTCCGCGTCCACCCTTCTAACTGCTCTACGTTCCAGTGTTGAGCAGAACCTGCGATACCACGCCCACACACAGAAAGACAAGATGCTGGGGATCCAACTTTCTCTGAAACCCGGGGATGAAATCATTCTTTATCTAATGGTTAAATCAGCTGGTGCTTTTCTTACCCTCCTTCTGCAAATGTCATGATCTCTACTTGCTGATCACAGAGGGTCCTGCTGCTGCTGACTAGCCTCCTCTTTGTCAGGCCAAGCACAGCGTGTATATTTCCAGTCCTCAGGAGCACCTGCTTTTCACATCCACCATCAGAGGAACAAAGTAATGCCCTAAGCCAAATATAAAAAGAAATGCAGAGAAGTCAGAGGTTTTTTTTTTTTTAAATAAGATTTAAAAATTGATTTTATAGAGAGAGGGAGAGGGAGAGAAACATCCACTGGCTGCTTCCCTTCTGTCCGACGGGTTCAGCGTGAAAGTGAGGCAGAGAAATCCCAAAAGTAGAGAGCCAGAAAAGAGCCCTAAACTCTTGCTATAATCTCTGCCTAATTATCTGGTTGACCTTTTAAATGACATGTATGTGGGGCAGACTCAGGGAAGCCCAGGTTTTGGATCAAGGCCGAAACCTGGGCACTTGCCCTGACCAAGAATCGAACCTACAGCCTTTCAGTGCCTGGGACGCTTAACCAACTGAGCCACACTGGCCAGTGCAGGAATAAGTCTTTAATAGTAAAGGACTAGGTTCAAATTTTAAAAGGAAACTTAAGTGCGGGATCAAGTGAAAGATAAAGGAAAAGAAAACTTCTGGAGAACTACGCACCTGATTTCTCTGATTTCCAAATTCCCCAAGGCCACACACACAAGGTTACACACATCAGGCATGGGAACTATCTGTAACACTGGAACCTAAATAAAATAAGAGCCAAAATGATGTTTGGTTGTTTCATTTTTAATCAATCTAAATTTTCCAAAATTTGTTGCATCTGTTTTCATTCTTACTATACCAGGATAGTTTCCAACATTTGGAAATGTGAGAAGGTTCGGCAAATACCCTTTTTTTATTAGTCGTAAATCCAAATAAGCTACATGCATAACAGTGTTTACTGCAGCATTTATTCACGCAGCTTATGCTCCTACCAACAGGGGAACAGTTAAGTAAATTCTGGCATTTGAGCCAATACAACCATTAAAATAAATTTATTCACTGAACAAATATTTATTTATTGAGCACAAGCACAGAGCAAGAAGCTGTGGATATACTAGAGAACAAGAATGAAATCTGCTAAGAGAGGAGATTAGATCTTCAAGGTTCTCACAAAAGGAAAAAAAAAAGGTAATTATGCAAAGTGATGGATGTGTTCCATCACTTAACTGTGGGATTCCTTTCCCAATGTATACACGTATCAAATGATCACTGAGTACACTTTAGACATATTACAAGTTTATTTGTCAATTATACCTGAATAAATCTGGAAATATAAATAAAATTCTACATAGATAAGTATGAAGGAGAAATGTTTATATGCTAAATGAGAAAAAGCAGTTTAAAAATTGTAAGCCACTAGGAGTGCACCAGGTGGACAAGTATGAAGGTGGACAGGACCTGGAAGAAAACACATGCGGAAAAGCAGCAGGAACGATGCTTTCATGAAGGGTAAGATCGGTGGGCGTCAGCACGCTTAGAAGTCAGAACAGATGGAAACGCCAAGCTGCTTCATCAGCTCGAGATAAAGACCCACCTGTGAACGTGCGGTAAATAAAGCTAATGAAACACAATGTGAACTGCAGACTAGATGGCAGGGACATGGTGCTCACTGCACAATTTTTCTGTTATGTTTGAAATTCTCCTAATAAAGCTTATCTCTCTGTTCTGTTTTGCAGTCATAGACCCCCCACTCCTCCTTTGGTAAGCTGCTGATCCATTATCATGCAAATAACGGCAAAGATTTCTTTTAGACTTGGACTCACCTCTGCAAAGTGCCAGGAATACATTTTTTCCCACTGCCCAGTATCCAGAGGTTTCCAAAGAGAAACTGCATATTCACAAGCAGTTATGATACACGGCTCTTTGACACCAGCTATTTCCCACCACATGGCACTCACATCTACGGAACAGGAACCTGAAGGATTCTAACCAGAATGGCAATAATGTTATGCTAAAGGGATACTTGGGGTCTGTTTTATGAAAAAAAATATGAAAAGTGATGCATGACAAGGATTAATTAAATACCAAGTAAGTGTAATGAAAGTTTTATGCAGGTCAAAATAGAGCATGGTGGGTCTTACAGGTAACTAAAAAAAATTGCCCATACACCTTCATCTCATGATGTAATTTAAAAGTATAGTTCCACCCTGGCTGGGTGGCTCACTTGGTTGGAGCATAGTCCCATACACCTAAAGATTGCAGGTTGGATTCCAGGTCAGGGCACAGTCCTAGGTTACGGGTTCAATCTCCGTTTGGGGCGCATATAGGAGGCAACCAATGGATGTTTCTCTCTTTCTTCCTCTCTCAAAAAACACACAAACAAAAAAACCTAAAGAAATAAAAAATAAAAGAATAGACTACTCCAGAATAGAATACATTCAAATTTAACCACAAAAGATAGCCCATAAGAACTTACCCACTTAGAAATTAAACATCCTGATGAACCACTCATGGGTTGAAATAACACACTATTTCTAAATGAACAGCAAGGAGAGCACTAGGCATCCAAACATACAGCATGGGGGGAAGGGGGAGGGAGAACAAACATGCAGCATGTGGCCAAAGCAAGATTTCCCCAAAAAAGTATAATCAATCATAAATGTATTTATTAAAAAAGCAGAAAGGCCCTAATCGGTTTGGCTCAGTGGATAGAGCGTCGGCCTGCGGACTAAAGGGTCCCAGGTTCGATTCCGGTCAAGGGCATGTACCTTGGTTGGGGCACATCCCCAGTAGGGAGTGTGCAGGAGGCAGCTGATCCATGTTTCTCTCTCATCGATGTTTCTGACTCTCTATCCCTCTCCCTTCCTCTCTGTAAAAAATCAATAAAATATATTTTTAAAAAAGCAGAAAGATAAAGTAAGCAAGCAGCTCAAGAAAGTAAAAGAACAATGAAAGGACCACAATGAAAAACAGTAGGAAGGAGTTATTAAGGGTAAAAACAAAAGTAAATGAAATAGGAAATGAAAACTTCAACTATCAATACAACCAAAAACTAATTTTCTACAAGACCAACAGAATGGACAAATCTCTTAAATCTGATGTAGGAAAAAAATATTTTTTAGAAATGGGGGCTTTTACTTGAAGACACAATGAAACGGCTGATTCCTGAAGAAACTAAATTATTAAAATTGATTGAAGAATAGCTTTGAAATGACACAGGTATTACTATGTATCTTTTATTGAAAAGGAATCTGGAGCTCAGAGGCTAAATGATTTGTACAAGGTTACAAAGCCAGTAATTGGCAAACAGTTTATGTGGATTTTAAACTCTTTCTTCTGTACCAGTTGTTCTCAACTGGGGGCAATTTGGCAACACTCCTTGGGGAACACTCGACAATGTCTGCAGACATTTTTGGTTGTTGCAACTAGGGAGGGGGTGCTGCTGGCTCTATCTGGTAGAGGCCGAGGCTGCTGCTGAACATCCTACAATGCACAGGCCACCCAACCTCTCCCAGCAAAGAATTATCCAGCCCCTAACGTCAGCAACGCTGACATTGAGAAACCGTACTCTACACCGTGAATACAAAGGTAACTAAGTCACAGGTCCAGTCTAATTCTCAGGATTTACTAAAACGTCATTAACAGAATATTGTTTTTTTTAATGCAATGATCAGTTTAAGAAAACATTTATTGAATTTAGAGAGAGAGAGAGAGAAAGGGGGAGGGGGGGAGAGGGAGAGAGAGAGAGAGAGAGAGAGAGAGAGAGAGAGAAATCAACTTTGTTGTTCCACTTATTTTATGGATTTACTGGTTGCTTCTTGAGCCCTGACAGGGGACGGAACCTGCAAACTTGGCATATCAGGATGACACTCTAACCAACTGGCCAGGGCTCATTAACAGAATATTGTAATTTACATTTTTTAGAACCACATACATCACACAGCATATAAAGATTAACCATTCACTACATCACAATCAAGAACTGCTACCCATTTTCTGATATATCACCTTAAGTGCTTCTTCTAGAAACATTAGATGATTTGGGTAGGAGAGTCACAAATGACTCCTCTTTCTTTCTCTCCCTCTGTTAATGCCTGATTTTTTATTTAAATAAGTTGAGTTACTGAGCTTAAGTTTTTTGGCAATAGCTTGACATACAAACTTCTTCAGATGATCTCAAAATATAAATATAGGTGAATACTGTGAAAAACAAAGAACTTAAATCTGTTTTTCTGAATCCTTTTTACCAAATTTATTTAATAGTATTAAGTTAAGAATGAAAAGCTATTGCCTGGCCGGTGTGGCTCAGTGGTTGAGTGTGTCGACCTGTGAACCAGGAGATCATGGTTCAATTCCTGGTCAGGGCACATCACATGCCTGGGTTTCGGGCTCAGTTCCCGGTGGGGGGCAGTGCAGGAGGCAGCCAATTAATGATTCTCTCTTATCATTGATGTTTCTCTCTCTCTTCCTCTCTGAAATCAATAAAAATGTATTTTTAAAAATGAAAAGCTATCTAATAAAATTCTCCATTTTCCTATTCATCACATTTTTTTTACATGTAAGACAAAGACACGTTAGAAGGTAACAGTGTTCTGACCTTTAACTTTGAAACCAACTGTAGGTGGCCTGGGTTTAAGCTGTCACAAGCAGGAACGTCTGCTAATTCAGTCTGTAGAAACAAAAGTCACACCATTAATCTACACTTTACGTATGCCATCTGCTGCATCATTCACTCATCAAAATGCCTACTTCTTATGGCAAACTGCTTCACTGATGACAAAGCCAATATTAAACACATTTTTCAATTAACTTTAATTTCCCCAGAATGAACTTAAAGTTTACAATGATGTCCTATCAAGGAAACATATCAAAACATTCTTAAACACCGAGGAGCCAATGTGTACAGAAGTCACTGAAGTGCGTCATTCCTTCAGAGAAAATGTCACAAAGGAAGCAGATTGTACCTGTTCGATGGAATGTTCCCCTGAGTCAAGGCATTTGCTTCCACAGGGTGGACTTTCTTTGGAAGGGAATGACTCAGTGGGGAAAGGTGTTGCTTGGGGACCAGAATCGTAGGCACCGCCAGGCTGTCCCTTCCTTCCTGTCACACGCAGGCTGCCATCTAATTTTGGTTGGCTGGTGCAACTGTGGCATTGCTTACTGTCACTGGCTTTCCCAGGAGAAAGCTGGGGTGAAGAGCAAGTTAGCTCAACAACCTCTGCAGACACTTTGTCACAGTGTGTCGGGGAGCCAAGAGCTGGAGTAGTGCCTAAGACGGGGAAAGCGGGGGAGCACACATCTGCTGTCGGTCGGCCACTACCATCTGGTGTAACAGTATTTACAGGAGTGAAGAGTAATGCGGGCGAGGAAAAGCCCTTCTGCCCAGGCTGGCTTTTTAGCTCTGTCATTTCAGGAGGTGCTTTTCCTGGTAGAACAATCAGTTCCTCTTCCAAGCCCTCCATTTCCATGTGGATTTGCTTAGGAGTCAGTTCCTCCGAAACAAGATAATTTCTCTCTTTCAGATGCCTCTCTCCATACACGTTTGATCCGAAAGGCTCAATCAGCTTTTCTGAGCAGAACTTCAGTTTTTCAAGCTTAAGAGATCCAAAGTCTTCATCAGGTAACTGAAAGTCTGTGATTTTGAGAAAAGGCGACAGTTGCTTTAAACTTAGCATTTCATTCTTATGAGACGGAGCACTGGAAGCATTACCGCCCAAAGCTAAATAGGTGTTATTAATGGAAGAAAAGGAGTCCTCTTTTTGGCAGTGACCTTCCTTCCCTAAAATAGAAAGGAACAATAATAACAAATACCCAACAAGAGACATTAACCCCCAACAAAGAGTGCACTTCTGAACTCCAACAGGATGTAACAGGTTCATCACTTTCCTCCTCCATGACCCTGAAACCTCAGTGAACAGTTCAAAAATCAGCCACAGGTTCGTGGTTAACTAGCAGCTCTTCTTGTGCAGTCGCCCAAACAGGTGCTGACAGCATTAGTTGGGGGAAGACAGGGGTCTAGTCCCATCTCAGCCACTGATTTCCTGTGCTACTTTGGGCAAGTCAATGCACTTCATATTCCCTGGCCCCTCAGAAAGGAAATGGACTAAGAATCTCTAAAGCCCTTTCTGCTCTAAAACTATGATTCCAACAAACTACCAGAATACAGTCTACAAAATGCTGGCTTTTCTCACTGAAGAAAACTTAGTCCCCCTTTCAAGCAAAGAGTTATTTACTACTAGAGGCCCGGTGCACATTAGTGCACTGGGGCAGGCGGGCGGCGGGGGGGTCCGCCTGCCACAGAGGCAGTAGAGGCTCCCACCACCACCTCTGCGCTTGCCAGCCAGAAGCTGGGCTTGCTCCTCCTTAGCATTGCCTCGGAGGCAGGAGAGGCTCCTGCCACAGCCTCTGCGCTCACCAGCTGTGAGCCGGCTTCTGGCTGAGCAGCGCTCCCTGGTGGTCAGTGCACGTCATAGCAACCGGTCATTCTGCCACTCAGTCGATTTGCTTATTAGGGTTTTATTATATAGGATTCTTAGAGACTGGAATTCTTCTATACCATTCAAAATGCATCTGAATCCATCACCTAATAATGAATAAATAAATGCTAGTACATATATATACAATGGATTATTCAGCCATAAAAAAAGAATGAAGTACTGATACATGCTAGAACATGGATGTATCTTGAAAGCAAGGTGAAAGCAGCCGGACATAAAAGATCACACATTGTATAATACATTGACATGAAATAAGTAAACCCATATAGAATAGATTGATGGTTGCCAAGGGCTGGATGAGAAGAAATGAAGATTAAATGCTTAGTGGGTACAGAGTTTCCATGTCAGGTGATAAAAATGTTTTGGAACTAGGTAGGGATCACGGTTGCATGTTGTAAATGTACTAAATGTCACTGAATTATTATTCATATGTGAAGGTCACCTAAAAAAATTTTTTTAAATGTAGCTGCAGGTTACTAAAATAGCAGATTATGTCAACATATAGAAAAGAAAGTTTCTAGTTTATTCTTATATTGCCCTACTTTCTATTCCTTTGTATTCTTATTGACTTAGAAGATGATACATCATAATGACTCTTATTTTTAACTAGAGGCCCGGTGCACGAATTCAATCGGGGCCGCAGGAGGTTGGCTGTGGAAGCACACTGACCACCAGGGGGCAGCTCCTGTGTTTAGCGTCTGACCCCTGGTAGTCAGTGAGCATCATGGCGATGGGTCGTTCAGTCGCTTAGGTTTTTGTATATATAGATTAATTATAGCGCACAGACCAGGGCCTGAGTCCAAGGACATAGAGAAAGCAGGTTTTATTTTTGTAAATAAGTGTTATTGGAATATGGTCACATTTACATGTTGTCTGTGGCTATTTTTGCACTTTACTTGAGTAGCTCTAATAGAGCACAATTTTCTACATGGCCCTGTATAGAAAGTTTGCTGACCTCTAATACAGAAGCAGAGTGAACTATCCAGTTTTCATGCTCAGTTTATCAGATATGACTTCCAAGTAAATGAATAAATATTCACTTGCTAGCTTCCAAAATCTTGTATCCCACAGAGCTCAGAGAGATTATATTGGCTATTTTACTCAAAAAAGTTGCTCAGATTTGATTGTATTTTATTCCACAATCATTCCTGTGAGAGTCTGACACATATTTCATTTTACTTCAGAAACACTTCCTATATTAGTTATATTTCTACCCTTGGATAAAGACTATGTTGTACCTGAATACTAATTTTAGGTAAACTTCCAATATATTTTCCCTCTCAGTGTCAACATTTCCAACCAGAATAGTGACCTCTAGCATCACATGGCCAGGTCTGAACCCCAGTTCTGTCACTTTAATTAACTAAAGCACTTTAATCTCCTTATGCCTTAGTTTCATCTGTAAGGCGAGGATAAAAACAGATCCTACCTCCTGTGATGATTGAATTAGTGTCTGTATGACATTTAGAAAGCGCCAGGCACACAGTAAGCTTTAGAGACCATCGTCATCACCATCCTCAACCACACCTTGATTTACCTTGAACTCCCCTCTTACCATGAATAACTGCTTTTTCATTCTGATCTTTGTCCTTGGACCTATTAACACCTGATGCGCCAGAAGTGGGCAAAAGTAGTTCATGGTGATGTAATGTAGGGGTGGGGACTGACTTTCTTTTCCCTCTGTGTCTTCTACCAGATGACTGTGTAACCGAAGTCCTAGAAAAATCATCCGTGGTGTGCCCAGTGGGAGAGCTGACTTCAGTTAATGAGAGAAGTCTCTGAAAAGGACTTCTTGAACTTGCTTTTTCTGTGCACCTGTCATACACCCTAAATTCATCTTGGTTAGTTTCTTCATTGGAAAATTTTAAAATTTTAGTAGCTTTCTTTTTATTATTTTTAATGCCTTTCTTTTTGACACCCAAGTGACTTTGAATTACAGCCTCCACGGCTGCTTTCCTCTGGCAATTTGACATATGTCGCGTTGTTCTTACATGATATTCTGCAGGAAAAAGGCCTTCGAGCACGGTGCAAGAATGTGCTTGATTTTCTGCAGAAACAGGAGAGATTATTTCTGGGCCAAGACTTTTACACTGACTCAGAACCTCACTTTCCTGAAAATGTTCATTTCTACCATCAAGAGCACTACTGGGAGATTCTGAAGACTTCTCTGTGTGATCTTGTTCTTTTAAGCTTTGGTTTTCATTTGCTGATAAGCTATAAGTGAATTCATTTACAGAATATGCATTATCAGCCTCTAAGTCAAGACTTCTAGGCAGCTGGCCACTTGGACCTACAGTTTTATTTACCTCTGGGTTACCTGTAAAGACAGTCATTTTTTTGTCCTGTGCCTCTAAGTTGACAGGTGAGGTAGGGCTAATGTTTTTTAAGCCATGAGGAATACGTTCACAGTTCCTTTTAGAAGGCTGATGTTGGAGGGGCTGACCACTACTGCTGTCTGATGGAGTATGCAAAGGAGGTGGGGACACCCTGGGGAGATGATTCCCTCCTGAAAGAGCATCCACACTGCTTTGTGGTTTGGCCTTTGGTGGAATTAAAACACTCCCTCCATTAGTTTCTGTAACTGGTGCTTGAGAATCTGGAAGGTCAGAATGAGGACTTGGAAAGTTAGTTCTTATTTTAGCTACAGGTGTCTCAGGATTTTCTCTATTGATTTCTTCTTGTTCCTTGAGTTTTTTTCTAGACAGCATAAGTGGATCAGGGTCAAAGAAAGATTCCCTCTCTTGTGAAATGAATGTTCTCTTCTGTTGCTTCTTTCTTCTCCCTGGAAGCTTACTCTGCCTTTTCTCACCATCAGGGCCACTGACACTGTAGGCAAAATCCTCTTGTATATCATCTGTTCTCTGCATGTGTAATCCTTCCACTGGGCCATGTCCAGCGTTGGAGGACTCAGGCTCAACGTCTCCATTTTCTTCATTGAGACAGGTGTTAATTTGTAATGCATCACAAGAAGATACTTTAGTTTTAGGTTCTAAGGAGAAAAATTTATATAATTAATATTTTCCTTTTAAAATGAAACCAGAAATTCTACATTTATTTTTAAATATTACATATAAATACTGTATTACTTAAAAATATTATATTTACTTAGTAGTTAATGTATTTCACTCAAGCAAAACAAAGTTCAAGTTTTTCATAATCTAATCATAATAATTTTAAATAAATGTAAACAAATAGAATTGTGCTAGAATGTCTTTTAAACTAAAAGATTATCTATTTTTATTGAAGTCATTTTTTTTTAATAATATGTTTTTATTGATTTCAGAGAGGAAGGGGGAGGGAGAGAAAGATAGAAACATCAATGATGAGAGAGAATCATTGATTGGCTGCCTCTTGTACACTCCCTACTGGCGGTCAAAACCGCAAACCAGGCATGTGCCCTTGACGAGAATCAAACCCGGGACCCTTCAGTCCACAGCCTGACGCTCTATCCACTGAGCCAAACCAGCTAGGGCTGAAGTCATTTTTTTTCTTATTTTTTTGCAGCTTTACTGAGGTACAACTGATGAAAACTATATAAATTTAAGGTGTACATGTGATATTTTGATATATGTATACATTGCAAAGTGTTACCATAATCAAGTTAATTAACATATCCATCAATTCATATAGTTACAATATCTTTGTGTATGTTGAGGACACTTAAGATCAGTTCTCTTAGCAAATTTCAAGTACACAGTATACATGCAGGATTAACTATTATCACCATGCTGTATATTAGATCTCTAGAATTTATTCATTCTGTGTAACTGAAACTCTACCCTTTGACCAATATCTCCCCATATCTCACTTAATATTTTATTTCATGTTTGGTTTTTTTGGGGCTCAAGTAATTTTTAAAAAATACATTTTTATTAATTTTAGAGACAGAGAGGAAGGGAGGAGGGGAGAGAGAGACAAATATTGATACGAGAGAAACATCAATCCGTTGCATCCTGTATGTGCCCTTGCCTGGGAATCAAATCTGCAATCTGTGCATGTGTCTTGTCCGGGGTGGAACCAGTGACCTTTTGGTGCACGGGACAATGCTCAAGCAACTGAGCCACACCAGCCAGGGCTCAAGTAATTTTAATACCTCATTCCTATTTCAATAGCCTCCAATTTTATGATTATAAATGACCTAAGTATTAACATGAGAAATGACCATTGTTTTTTTAGTATATTTTTATTGATGTCAGAGAGGAAGGGAGAGGGAGAAAGAGGAACATCAATGACAAGAGAGAATCATTGATCGGCTGCTTCCTGCATGCTCCCTACTGGGGATCAAGCCTGCAACCCAGGCATGTGCCCTTGACTGGAATCGAACCTGGGACCCTTCAGTCAGTAGGCCAACGCTCTAGACACTGAGCCAAACCAGCTAGGGCATGGCCATTGTTTTTTAGAGTACTTCCAGCCAGACACATTTCTCTGTACATATGTAGAAATTTAATTTTAAAATCTTTCCAGCCCAACTGGCGTGGCTCAGTGGTTGAGCATCGACCTATGAACCAAGAAGTCACGATTCGATTCCCAGTCAGGGCACGTGTGCAGGTTGTGGGCTCAATCCCCAGTGTGGGGCGTGCAGGAGGCAGCCTATCAATGATTCTCTCTTGTCATTGATGTTTCTTACTCTTTCTCCCTCTCCCTTCCTCTCTGAAATCAATAAAAATATATTTTAAAAAATCTTTCCAATAACTAAGCAATAAGTATAATTACTAAAAGTTGAGAGGGAAAAAGAGCACTAAATAAACAACTCAACTGAAAGCATAGTTTATCATTCACAGAATGAGAGAAAATATTTACAAATCATGCATCTAATAAGGGTCGAATAGCTACAGTATGAGGACACTTAAAACCCCAGAATTAAAAAACAAATAACCTAACTAAAATATTGGCAAAGGACTTGAATAGACATTTCTCTAAAGAAGATAGACAAATGGCCTCTAAGCACGTGGAAATATGCTCAACATCATTAGTCACCGAGAAATGCAGATTAAAACCATAATTAGATACCACTTCACATCCACCAGGATGGTTATAATTTTAAAATGGCAAATTAAAAGTACTGGTGAGGATGTGGAGAAATTTGAATCCTTACCCACATTGTAGTGGGATACAAAATGGTGTAGCTGCTATAGGAAAGTCTGGCAATTCCTCAAAAAGTTAAACATAGCCCTGGCTGGTTAGCTTAGTTGGTTAGAGCACTGTGCTGATAAGCCAAGATTGCAGGTTGAATCCTCAGTCAGGGCACATACAATAAATCAATCAAAGAATGCATAAGTGGAACAACAAATCCATGTTTTTCTCTCTTCTCTCTCTAAAAATCAATTTTAAAAAAGTTAAATGTGGAATTACCATATGACCCAGCAATTCCATGCCTAGGCATATATTGAAAATAATTGGATACAAATATCTACACAAATGTTTGTACATGAATGTTCATGGTAGCTTAATAGCCCAAATTCATACTAGCCAAAAAGCAGAAACAACCCAAATGTCCATCAATTGATGAATGGATATACAAATGATGGTACATCGCCCTGGCTGGTTTGGATCAACTGTTAGAGCTTTGGCCCGTAGACTAAAGGGTCATGGGATCAATTCCAGTCAAGGGCACGTACCTTGGTTGCAAGCTTGATCCCTGGCCCTAGTCGGGGCACATGTCTCTCTCACATCAATGTTTCTCTCTCCCTGCCTCTCCCCCTCCCTTTTACTCTCTCTAAAAATCAATGGGGAAATAATATCCTCGGGTGAGGATTAACAAATGATGGCACACCTATACAATGAAACATTATTCAGCTGCAAAAGGGAATGGGTAATGATGCATGCCTGGATGTATGTACGTCTGGGTGGATGACCACTGAAAACACTATGCTAAGTAAAAGAAGCCAGTCCCAAAGGCCACATATTGTATGACTGCAGTTATATGAATTGTCCAGAAAAGGTTAATCCACAGAAACAGAAAGTAGATTCGTGGTCACCAGGGGTTAGGAGTGGGATGGGTAAGGGGTTTATTTTGGGGAGTGGTGAAAATGTTCTAGAAATAGTGATGATGGTTGCATGCTCCTGTAACTATATAGAAAGAACCACCCAATTGTACACTTTAAAGAGTCCATTGCATCCTCATGAGGAAAAGAACCACAGCCAAATACCCCTGGAAAATGAATAATAAAGCAAGCATAAGTGAGTGGGCTAGCTTTACCTGAGTGGTTCAGCTGTGGTGAAACTTCTGGCTGGAGCAAAGAATCTTGTTCTTTCACTGTTTTCTTAATAAAATTCTTAACCTTCTCAGCTCTTTGGGCCCGCTAGAGAAAGCAAAAGCAGCTCAAGGAACAAATTTAAGGGAAAATAATTTTTTTTAAACCTTCAGTATTATGAAGAATTGTTTATAGTTTGTACTACAATACCTCAATTTGAGAGAATAAGATTCACTTACCTGAAGACGGGCCAGCGTCTTGCTATATTCTCTTTTCAAGAATGCTAATTTTTCCTTCAACTGAAAGAAGAAAAACACCAGACAATTCTGAGCAGTGGAAAGAGAAGGGGTACAGTGCCTACCGGACATGAGTGCCGTGCTCAGCTGGTCCCTCAGCCAGAGGCAGTGGAGGGCACAAACCCACATCACTCTCACTTCTCACAAAGCAACAAGCCCTCTGCTGTCTCAGAACCTTTGCACAGACTATTGTTCTCACCGGCAGCATTTCCTCCCCAACTCACTTTGCTGATTCCTACTGATTCCGCAAGCCTCAGCTTAGATTTTTATTTCCCTGGAACAGACTTCTAGGCTCTTTTCAATCCAGGTAGACAGTCCACTTCTCCCCTGTGCTTTCTTTATCATGGTATTTATTACTCTGTTATCTGTTTACTTCTCTGTTTCCCCCAGCTCCCATTCTCACTGTGAGATCCTCCGAAGTAGTAAGACCTGTCACCCTCGCCCTGACTGGTTTGGCTCAGTGGATAGAGCATCGTCTCAGGCTCAATTCTGATCAAGGGCACGTACCTCTCAGTTGCAGGCCTGATCCCCGGCCCCACCTAGGGTGCGTACAGGAGGCAACCATTTGATATGTCTCTCTCACATCGATGTTTCTCTCTGTCTTTCCCCCTCCTTCCTACTTGCTCTAAAAATCAATGGAAAAAATATCCTCAGGTGAGGATTAACAATAACAAAAAAGAGCTGTCACCCTCAGTGAAAATGGAATCTCTTATTTGTCAATTATTGGTCCAGGTATCTCTACCATCTGGAGACAATCGCTGTATCAGTTCCTAAGGGTATCAGCTATTGTTCCAGGTGCTAGACATACAGTGTGGTCAAGCTTACATAAGGTGAATGATAATAAAGAAGAAAACAAATAAACATGACAGGTTTATAGGTCTGGCCTTATTTATTCCGTAATCAAACCCAGGTAAACAGGGAGGCATGAGAGCTCCTGAGTTATGGGAATGGACTACTTTATGGTAGAGAGGGTGGCCAGAGATCGTTTCTAAGGACCATTTGAACCTGGACCTGAGTAGGAAGGAGCTGGCAAGGGAAGCTCAGAGGGAAAGCTGTTTGTCTAAAATCACACAGTTTAAATGGTATGTAATTCAAACCCATGCAGTCCAGCTCTCCAGTTTGTGCTCTTAAATCTGTGCCAGGCTGCTTCTTACATCGTCCTATTAGTCACCAGGCTTATCAATTATCTGGGAATTATCTTGACTTGTAAATGCCCTTCTCACCCCCACTGGAAAGTAGGCTGGGCCTGGCTGGTGTGGCTCCGTTGGTTGGGGCGTCACCATACACCAAACAGTGACGGGTTCAATTCCCTGTCACGGCAGATACCCAAGTTGCAGGTTCCATCCCCGGGTGTGTGTGGGAGGCAACTGATCACTGTTTCTCTCTCTCTCTCCCTCTCTCCCTCTTCCTTCCTCTCTCTGAAATTAAAAAGAAAAGAAAAAGA